TGGATAATTCTTCCAAGATTCGAGTTTTCAGAAGAGTAGGAATGATCAAGGCTTTAAAAGAATTTTTTGAAAAACAGGTCCAGTCAATTTGTCCGCTACTGAAAACATCAGAAACATCTGCAAGACTCAAAACCTCTAGTAATTAACAAGTATTAGTTACATCTGGTTATTCAATCTGTGTGCATATTATTTTTATAAACAACAGGATGATAAATTACAAATGACTACTGTTGTATTTATATATTTTTATTTTCAAGTTGCTACATTCTCAAATGAAAAGCTTTTAGCAGGACTCAAACTATACTCATAGCATAATGATTTGATCCAAAACAAATGCAACAGGGCATGCAAGTACTTTTACATCTAGTCTAACAATCCCTATCCCAAAATTCCCATATCAAGTCACAAATTGCATTTCAGAATCTAAGCTATGCCCTCACATATATCTCTGGGTAAGAGCTGTAGACTTAGAAGTCACATCACATTTTCAAACTAATCTTTGCAAATATGAAAGCTAGAATCTTCTGTTTAAGCAGAATTTGGGATTGTCAAGGACTCCAGTAAATCCTTACACAAATGTGCCCTAGGGACCATATAAATCCACATCCCAGTCAGACTAGAAGCAGACCATATACTATACCAAAAAGATAAGCCCATGTACCAAACCAAAACACACAGACCCACAAACACCAGTTATATATATTCACATAGTCATATTCATTCAGCAAGCAAAATGAATAAAGAGCAAGCCCAATCAAACAGTTAAAAGATAACTCTTGTTTTTGTATAATATACTCTACTTATAAACATAATTTTTCATTTCTTTAGCCACGACTTCTAATTTCTTCACAACCACAGCTTTGCCTTAATGGGTTCCCTTTCCCCCACCTATTGAATGATATTTACAGCCTGGCCTCAAGCTACAGATGGGTGAAGTTAGACATAATCAATGCTGTGCAGATTAAACTGGTAATCATCTTGCTAATAAAATGTAAAAATAAATGCTCCTTGCTTGATAGTGATTAAAATTGAGGGCACATTCCACCCTCACATATCACTGTCAAATCCTGGAATGCTGACCTTCAGGGAGAAATACTTGAGAAAAGCCAAATTTTAAGCTATCCACTGCAACTGCACAGAAGGAAGAAAGATGAAGGCACCATACACAAACAAGAGGTGAATGAATTCAGAGTATGAAGCTTACTCTGCAATCCCTATGGACACCAATTTGGGACTAAATTCAAGTGAGCTCAATGGGACTTCCAAGTAAGCCACAGACATCTAGTTTGGGAGAAAAGTAAAGCTGTCTGGTATGTCTTCATTTCAAATACAGAGAACATTTCAAATGACCATGTTTGTTTGCTTTTAAGTTATTTCTTACATCACATTCCTAGGGGATGAAGAGCCTCATATTTATCAATCGGCCCAAAGGTACAACCATTCATTCCATCGGGCACCACAAATCATTATTACTCCTCCTAAAAGCAGCAGCTGGTCCCTGTCACCATTATGAAAGCAGAAAAACTAGGCTTCTAGTTAGTGGCTTCTACATAGGTGGGAGATTACAGATATGCAGAAAAAAATATTATCCTCATATCTGTGGGACCACCTTTCCCCTATGCTCTGCCATGACAATTTTACTGATCTCAGCCGGGCTTTCTACAGGTGCCACCCTGCAAACAGGCAAGATCTGCAGCTGCCCATACAAGTATTCTTTCTTGTGGCCTAATGGAATAGCCTGCCTGATGAAGTCAGGAAGGTTTCCACTCTCCTGGGATTCTGCAAAATATGCAAAACTGAGTTATTTAAGAGGGCATTTTTATACAGGTAACAGGCCTATACTATAAATGGAATGGTTCAGAAAGATGCTTCAAGGAACAGAAAAGGACTGTGAATTTATACTACTGTGTATGTATCGCTCTACTATCTAATCTCTGCATTGCTTAACATGTTGTATAATATATAATTAAGCTTTGTTTCAGATTTATGCAATCCTAATATTGTAACATTGTATACTGGATGCCTCATCCAATTGATTGTATGGACTTACACTGTGTGATCTGCCCTGCGGTCTCAGTGAGAAAGGTAAACGATAAATAACATAAATAAAATTTGCTCTTAAGTACTTGGCATCAGTTTGCTCAGAATGAAAAGACAGAGGGAGGTGAAGAGCCCCCGAAAGTGTAAATTACCCTGAAGGAGGAGAAATGACAGGTGGGATTTCCTAATTGTTCCCTCCCTTCCACAGTTCCTCACCATTTGTTAGTAGGATGGTGAAATGGGGGCACAGACAAGCAGGGTGGTTTTTTAAAAACCATTTCCAGAAAACATCCCACCTATGGGGAAAAAACACTAGTTTATAAACAAACAACAAGAATAAAGCATAATAAACCTAGTCCAGTAGCTATGGAATACTGAATGTAAATGAAAGAAAGGGGGATGGGAACAGAGGTTGGGGAATTGCTCTACTCAATACCCTCCTAAAACCTTTACTATCTGTCTTCAGGATATTATGAGCTGGTGAGTGTATGCCATGAGTTCTTTCCCTAACCCACACCTAGGGTGTTTTTAAGGACTGAGAACACTTTGAAGCTTTAAAAAATCCATGTGAGGAAAGGTTTGGGAGGAGAGGAAAAGTGCTTCCTTCTATTCTAATCAATGACACTCTTCAAAGGGCAGTTTTAGGTACAAAAGGGGAAACCCCTAACCACTTTTAGTATCCTAGAATGGGATGCAAAATTAGGATCAGGGATGTGCACCATAAAGTCCACTTTCTATAAACCTAATTCTCCCGCCCCAGAACTCATGATAAGTTCAGATAAAGATACCTCTCACTTGCATTGTACCACTCAGATTCAAACCTAATGAGCTAGGGTTACCAGATGTCCTTGTTTTTAGAGGACATGTCCTCTTTTTTTGGTGTCCATCCTCTTTTGGGCTGTTTTTTAAAAAAAAACTGATGAAAATGTCCTCTTTTGGGGTTGAAAGGTTAGGAATATTCCTAGTTAGTAGAAACTACCACAGCTTAAATACTAGGGTTATTTAAAATGAGATTTGTCATAGTAAAGTAGTCAGTCAGGAAATCTGTCCTCTTTTTTGCTTTTCAAAATATGGTAGCCCTAAATGAGCTGCTTACCGCTCACTTAGCATTTGACGCTGAAAGGGTACACTTTAGGGCGAGGTGTACAGGAATCTATTAATCAAGGCTCTGGAATTTAGCAGTGTTGTGCTATTGCACAAGGGATGAGAATCTTGGAACCAAATTATACCCCCAGCATCCACATTTTTCACAGTCCCTCGACTTGGTTCCCATATTCCAAAATTTTTATATACTACAAACAGCCAATGGCCTGCTGAAGAATGCTTGCAAAGCAACCCCCTCCAGACAACTAAACGTGAAACCGTATGATGTTTACACAGAAATAAGTGACACTGAGTTTAAGGGGACTCCCTCACCAGTTCAGGACTGAACCTAAATAAAAAATTGCAAATAGTTACATTGGTTAGTGGAAAAAACCCAGCAACTAAAAGTTGTGTCGCCAGAACCTTGTGCTTGATGACCTTCTCAGCCTTGCAAATTTCCCTGACAGTACACCCAACCAATTTCAAATCCCCCTTGCTTTCAAGTGTACATAGCACCACCACCTTTTCCAGCATCTTTCAGCACCATAAAGCGCTGACCACACCTCCCCCCAAAGCCAGGATGGTATTCCTGGGATTTTGATCAAGAATCTCTGTGTGATGGCTGCAAGATGTGTTAGCCTACTGCCAAATATCATATGCCCAATTCTGGTCTAATAGAAATACTTTGTGCAGCAGCTCACGCAGTTATTGCTAGATTTTGGAAAGATAAGAAAAGACCTACCATATCTGATTGGTTCTTAAAAGTTCAGGAATTCTGTATAACGGACAAATTAGCAGATTCTATGTTACCAGGTGAAACCGAACCTTATACCTCTAACTTTGTTAAAATTTGGTTTCCAGTTCTTGAATACTTTGCCTCTCAAAAAGAACTTGAACCTATTCTTGAAACTATTAACGTTGTGTATTCATTTGACTGACTTTTGCTAGTTCTTCCCTCAATGTAGCTTACTCTTGGTTGTATTATTGTTACAATTGCATATTTATAGCTGACTGTTATTACTTTTTTGTTAAGCCTGTATTTGTCTATCAATTTCAATAAAGAATCTCTGTGTGCAGCAGGGGCTTCCATGGCAGAGTAGGATTTGACTTCATTAAGCCTGTATTTGTCTATCAATTTCAATAAAGAATCTCTGTGTGCAGCGGGGGGAGGACAAAAACAAAAACCAACGGAAAGATAATAAAACCGTCCAAATTCAGACAGTGATTGGAGACTACAAGAAGTTACCTCTGAGCATAATTATAGCATCTTTCCCTGCCCATTTTATGATCTTCATGTGAAATTTGCAGTTTGCCACACAACTGATTTCTATGCAAGGATTTTGTGTATGCAAGGCCATTTAGAGGAAGGAACCCCGCACCCCATCTCTCCAGAGCACAAACGATCTCTTTCAGGCACCAGCGCCTAGCTTTTACCATATTAAACATATCCCAAGATTAACACAAAGAAGAGAAAGAAAGCAGAAGGCTACTTTCTCTGGAACTAACAACTACGCATAATAAAGGAAAGTAAGAGTCAATTTTCCTCTGGTTTCGCAGTAAGAGATCCTTTTTATATGCGACATCTGAGAAGTATTCGGAAAAGCAGCCCTTAAGAGGAGAAGGAAGAACTCTGAATGATCGTATTGCCACCTAAGTGACTTGAAACGCTTTCCTTGCAGTGAAGACACTTCTGGACAAGACCATCCTGGGGTTACTAACCTGCACCCCGCAACAGCAGAAAACGCTGCCTCTCACCAGCAATCCGCAACACTTGTTGGTGTTACAGAAAAAAGGCTCCCTCAAGAACTCGTCACCCTACACAAGAGATCCCCATCAATAAAGACGGCGGGAAGGGCCGACTGAATCATGGTGCTTACGTTCCCTGGGAGAAGAGGTTTGGGTCAGGCGCTCACAAGCTCGAGAGGGTAGGGGCAGTTCTTTCCATCTGTTTCGAAACGGCGTCATTTGTTTTTCTTCTGTCCGTGAACTGTTGTTTTCGAAGAACCCAACACACTGTTTTCCATGAGCAATGAACAGCAACGAGAACAATTACACACACGCCCCACTGTGGCTTCGTTGGGCACTGCAAGCTTGCATACAGAAAAAGTGCAGCAACTGTTCAGATACTCAAAACGACTTAATTACAATCGACCGGTATATCCCAGCACTGTACCGCCTCCAGGTAACAGCGGCTCTCCAAATTCCAGCCAGAGATTTTGCCTGGCATCTGACAAGGGGAGCTCTGATTCTCTCAAAAGCTAATATCCTGAAAATCTTGTTGGTCTTTAAGATTCTCCTGGACTCCAATCTTGCTGTCTTACATGGCAACTGTTACACAAAATCCTTTTAGCTGGAGATGCAGGGACCAGTGTTCCCTCTAAGCTGAGTTAGTGTGAGCTAGCTCACAGGTTTTTAGCCTCTGGCTCACAGATTTTTGTCTTAGCTCAGGAGGGATGGCTCCAGAGCAAACTAATTTATACAGTAGCCAAATTACTCGCTCACAACTTTAATGCCAGTAGCTCACAAAGTAGAATTTTTGCTCACAAGACTCCACAGCTTAGAGGGAGCATTGGCAGGGACTGACGCTAGGGTTGCCATTCTCTCAATGGGGGCAGGGGTTTACCTGTTTTCAGGGGCCCCAATCAGCCACTGCCCAGCTGTCTGGCGGGGGAAGCCCTGCCTTCAAAGAGCCCCGCCTGCGCCAACATGCCTGGCACAATGATGACATCTGAAGGTGATGTCATTGTGCAGGGCATGTTGCATGGAGGACGTTCTAGCATTTGAGGAAAACTCTATGGTTACAATAGAGTTCTCCCCCAAACGCTAGAGCGTCCCCTTGCAACGTGCCCTGTGTGATGACGTCACTTCTGGGTGATGTCATTGTGGCATGTGTGCAAAGCGCATACACTGAAAAGTCCCGATACTAAGGGACCCCACACTGGCAGCCAGGTAAAACCTGGCAACCCTAATTGACGCAGTCCACAGGTTCTGCCGCAAAGCAGTAATTCCCCCTTCCTTTATTTTTAAAAGTATAACACCTTTGCACCCTGTGACCAAGGCTGAAGCAGGATTCAACCTAGCAATGGTGACTGGCAATGGCCAGACTGGTGCAGAGGTTAGAATGTCATACTAGGGCTGAGAAGAGCCAAAGCCAAATCCTACTCTGCCATGGAAGCTCACTGGGAAACCTTGGGCCAATAACCGTATCTTACACGGTTGCTGTAAGGTGGGGGGGAAGTAGGAGAAAGGGATAATAATGTATTTTTAATCTGTAATTTTACAAAATTTACACCCCACCTTTCTGCTCTTATAAGGGCCACCAAGGCAGCTAACAAATTAAAATATATAATAAAATCATTTCTTTAAAACCATCAAAAAGGACATCATTAAAACAAAACATACCTAAAATACATATAAAACCATAAGTAAAGCAAATAAAACATTGGGCAGGAAGGAGGGATCATTGAAGGAATGCAAAATGAAACAAAGAAGTCTTCACTAGCTGTTGGAAGACAGCAACAGAAGGGGACAGACAAATCTCCCTAGGGAGAGACTTCCAGAGTTTTGGTGCCACAACCAAGAAGGCTCTCTCTCAGGTAGCTACCCATCTAATCTCAGAAGGTGAGGGCACCCAAAGCAGGACTTCTGAAGATGACCATAGTGGTCAGGTAGGTTCATAATGGAGTAGGCAGTCCTTTAGATATGCTAGTCTCAAACCAAACAGGTCTTTAAAGGTCAGCACCAGCACCTTGAATTGCAGTCACTAAGCATGCAAAGTTAGCATGTAAGAGATCCACAACTGGGAAAAGTGTTGTGCTGGCATTTGTACACATAGCAGCCTAGCTTAAACCAGACTGGACATATTGCAAGCATAAACTCTGCTTTTGGCCAAAGCCGCTAACAAGGTCACAATAGTATCTGGGGAGGAGGGGGCTGGGTGGATCCAGGTTCTGGAAAGCCATAGAATGCCGATTCTCAAAGAACTTCCTGGTGGAACAAAAATAACACATTTTATGCAAATAAAGGCCAGTTCCCATTGGAGGCAACAATCATACATATAGGATATGGTATTTACCCTGGCCCGTAGCTAACATGGGGCCCATGGGGCCCGGCCCCCTTGTGTTTCTTCTGGGCCCCCTCCCTCCAGGGCTGCCTCCAAAGTGCTCCAACTTACCACCTGCACTGTACTTCCATTTAATTAGCTGGCGGGCCCCCCCAAGGCCCCCTCCCAAAGAATTCCCTAGCTACGGGGCTGTATTTACCCCTCAATCTCAGGACTCCTGCTGGCAGCCTGACCACTGAAAATGTGTGCGATGCTCCTTTCTACAGGGTTACCATCTTTTTATTTATTTTATTTATTTATTTACATTATTGGTAGTCTACCTTTCTCACTGGGACTCAAGAGGGATTACACAGAGTGAGTCAATGCAATAATTAGGATGGGAGAGTCAATAAACAATCCTGGTGGACTAGGATTGTAAAAATCTGGAACCAACCAGAAAACTAAAAACACAAAGCATAAGTATTAACATGGCATGTGGAAGAACAGTCCAGGTCCAGCCTCCAGGCCCTGTTCTACCCTGTCCTACAAGGCTTTCTCAACACGTGGAGAGGCTTTTCACTCTCTCTGGTAACCTGCCATCACCAACTGACCTCTGCAGGACTTGCTTGCTGGGAAGATCAGGACTTCCAGCTTCCCTTCCAATTTCTGAGGCCTTGCCTCTGTGTCTCCCGCTGCCTGGCGCTTCATCACCACGGGAACTATATACTGCCTTGTGCACCCCTGGAGAAATAGCTGCTCGCCAACTGACTGCCTTCCCCCGGCCCTCCATTTAAAATAGCATGTCCAAGACGATGGAGGTCTATGTGGTGCAGAGAACCACTACCAGCATCAAAAGTTATAACATATTTATTAAAAAGGAAATGTTCACAAGCTTACTTTTAGCACAGCACCAGATTGAGCAAGGGATTCAAAATAAATGGGTAAAATGCAATTTCTCTATCCTTCTCTCTATACATGCCCTTTCAGATGTTAAAATATAGTACATGCCCCTTAGCTTAGAATGTTATAGATTTCTACAGAGTTCCTTTATCTTTCAGCTTCGTTCAGCTGTCCAGGCCAGCAAATGGCAATGGCCACCTCCTCCAGACCTCAGTTAAGAGTTCTGTCTCCTCTGATGGACTCAGCACAAAAGAGCCCCTCCTCCTCGCTTCCAGGAGCTCTATCGTCTCTTTCCCTATCCCACTAACCAGGTCAGGATGGATCAAAGGAACTTTTCCTGACATCTCCAGAAATTTCTTCCTGGAGTTCTTCTAGTCTTAATTCCTCCAAATCTCTGTTCCCTGCTTGGAGTGGAGGGAGAGACTGGACCATCCCACTGTCTCTAGTGAGACCTATTAGCATTTCTTAAGAGGTAGCTGAGGTGAGCCTGGAAAGCCATTGACTGACCTCCCCACCCCTGCCTGTTCCCTCCCCAGAAAGAAACACTTTTAAAACCTCCTGGTAAAGGTTTCACTCAGGTCAGACCTCTAACCAAAAAATGAATTTCTTCACATGACACATTAAATGATACAAAATTACATAGCGGGCTCTTACTTTCAGCAAACTATACACAGTAGTATTGACCACAGGCCCTAATCATTTATTCAAGTAACTTTGAGAACCATTTTGTACAATACAATTTTGTTACCTGCACAGAAAAGCCCTCTTTATAATTCACTTTTGCATAGTCTCCAGAAAGGCAGGAGAGTGGGAGCCTTCCTGATCCCCTTAGGCAAGCCACTCCACAAGGTGGGGACCACAATGGAGAAGGCATGTTCACAGGAAGGCCCTGCTCAGATGAGCAGTGCGTAGGGGGGAAAGGTGGTCCTGCAGATATGAGGGACCAAGGTCATGAAGGACTTTGCATGTGATAGCCAATACCTTAAATTGAGCTAGGGTTGCCAAACCCCCCCCCCCCGGTTTGCCAGGGGTCCCCCATTTTGGGGGGGTTCTCCCCGCCGGGGGCCGGCATGGCCGGTGGGGGAAGCCCCACCCCCAACACACCCAACACCCACAGCCACCCATCTCTCTCCCTTTCAGAGTGTGCAACCCATGTTTCATCACAAGCGCGAACTCCGCAAGCTTGCAGGGAAATGCCAGCTTCGTTCTTAAAAGGGAAACGCAGCTGCTCTTAAAGGGGAAACGCCGGCTGCCGGCTATTCCTGTGCGCGGGGGTGGGGGGGGCGGCAGACGTCCCCAACGTGATGTCATCATGTTGGGGATGCCCCACCCCCTCCAGGAACACCCCCAAAGTCCCCCGCTGGGGGTGGAAGATGGACTTGGCAACCCTAAATTGAGCCCAGTAAGTGATGTGCAGCCAGTGGAGTGACTGCAGAATGGGAATAATATGCATGCTCTTCTAGCTCTTGATAATAGCTGGGCTGCTGCTTTCTATACTAACTGGAGTCTCCAAGCTGACTTTGAGGAGAGACCAATGTACATTAAAGCAGTCTAGCCTCAATGTTACTGTGGCATGGATCCAGGTGGCCAGATCAGCCATATCAAGGTAAAGGGCCATCTTACAGGATAGGCTGCATTGGAAGAAAGCATTTTTTTGCACCTGCATTAAATTACTACTCCAGCAATAATACCAGCCAGTGTTGCTGAGTCTTCTAAAAGAGCTTGATCTGCAGAATTCACACGTGGACACATGAAGCTGCCTTGTACTGAATCAGATGCTTGGTCTATCAAAGGCCCAATCTGCATCTGCCATGTAACACTGCTTCTTTCAGCTGTGGCGCCAGCTTCCATTGCCTCCCATTTGGCTCAGTATAAAAGCTTGCCGTCTGCATCATGTTTAGGGAGAGCATGGGAGAGGGGGGGAGGAGTGACCTCTCGGGGTGCCAGCAGGGCACTCAACAGTGCTGCACTGTGGGGATGAA